ATCCTGCACCCCTGAGGTTGGAGCAGGTGGTCTTGCCTGCTCACACTGGAAGTGCCTGGAGATCCACTGATTTTCTAGGCACATTTCTCTGGCAAGGGCTGTCGGTCTGGTGGGCTTTTGCCCCCCCGCTGTGTGAATACCCATGTGGAATTGCGAAGCCCTGAGATAGCTTAACCGTATGTTCTGATAACGATTTTAAGATCGTTTTTCTGGCTCTGGCTTCCTACAGGTCACCTCGCTATGCAGCCACTGAAGGAAGTGGAAGCGCTGGCCCAGTGGGAGCGCAGGCCTCGCGGTAGGGTGCCGGGACCCTGGAGGATGCCCCGCAGGGTGCGGGTTAGGTAGTCCGCAGAGCTGAGAGCTTGCTGAGAATTGTGACGGATGGGGGCGGGGCGGGGGAGGTAAAGACGCGGACCATAGTAGCTCAGAAGACCCTCTAGAATTGGACCCAGTTCCTACACAAGAGTCTTCCTTCCTGCCTCCGGAGACACTGCAATGATGTCAGCGAGGGGGCGCTGAAAAAGGAGGTTGTCAAATTCCTCATAGTTGTTGCGCACCTAAGGAAAAGGACTGGTAATTAATATCTTAATACTCTGTAAATGGAAGCAATCTTTACAACTGAGCGCCAAGATGTGGGCCAAGGGGACTCCAGTGTATCTAAGCACAGTTCAGTTAACCCAGTGACTGGAACTCAGCCGCCCTTCCCCCAAAAGAGCTACACCAAAGTGCAATAGAATGCAATTGTACCACCCATAGGAGATTTTATGGTATTTCGAGGACCATGTTATCATACCTCGCAGCTCCTAGCAACATTTCTTTGCAGAATATAAGCCCCAGCTTGTACCTACCAGCCTAGAGTCTTCAGCCCCTTTCCAGACTTGTAAGAAAGGTTGTTTCTATTGGAGGTTGGGGGTGGTGCTGCTGGTTGGCAGGGTGCAGAGCAGGGTGGGGTTCCCACATAATTTCCCCGGGGAACTGGAAGGTGCTGTCTCTTCCACTTGATTAGTGATAGTGACCTTTCCGACCTCTTTACTAAGGATTGTTCTACAATAGACGCAAGCCTCTATTTCTTGATCAAGGTCCCCAATCTGTGATCTAAATACAGGATCTTAGCTAAACCACAGTAAATAGTCAAGAGATGTTTTCAAGGAAGAAATAGGAATAACTGCCTTTTAGAAACCCAAGTTTTTAGGTCTGCTGGAAAGCAAAGCGTTTCCGAGGATCTTCAAGATAAGTCGTTCTCACTGCCTCAAATATAGACCCAGCGCTGGGCTTGGCTACTCTTGAAAAACCTGAAAGGGAACCTGGGCTATCGCATGAGGGCCACCCTTGATGACCCTATTGTCAAGCCTCAGAGAGCCTGGACAAACCCCAAACTGCCCTCCCTCCCCACTCTCCCAGCGTACATCTACTGACATTCACCCACTCCACCCAGCAGGCAGGGGGCACTTCTAAGAGGCTTGGTTGTAACCTGTCGGATCCCTGAAAAAGTTCCCCCATAAGCAGTTACTGAGGAAGAATCAATGCGGGACAATCCCTCTTTTGCTTTCTCTACCAATAAATTTAACACTAATTGCTAAGAAGGTACTTTGCAGATATGAGGCCCTGGGGACACCCGATTTTTGCCAAGCCCGCAAAAGGGGTAAAGGCAGAGCAGGGCTGTCCTATGTACCCAGAGTCTGCTGGGCCAGTCACGGTAGAGTCTGGATCTCCAGAGTTTTGCGGTAACTCGCACTCTAAGGATGGGCACTACTTCTGCCCAGCGACCAAGCCGGCTGCACCTCTTTCTAGGACTGGGGTGACCTTAAGGACCCAGAGGGCAGGAAGGGGCGACTCTGGGTGAAGTTTCCAACCGAGCCAACAAACGGCGCTATTGTCGCGTCCTGGGTCCTGGGAGCCCCAGGCCCAGCTCCAGTCGGAGGGAGCTTTAGCTCTCTTGGGAGCGTGGGGGAATGGGGAGGGGGCGCTTGGCCGGGTTCCTAGCCGCGGATCCAGGGATCTGCGCGCCGCTTATGGACTCCCGGAGGTCCGGGAGGAGAGACTACTGGGGAGCGCTCCCTCTCTTCTTCCGGAGAGGTTAGAAAGGGCTGATTCCAGGTCCTGTCGTATTATTCTGCTTTCCTTGATGGGTACAGGGTGCACATTAGAGACTGCATTTCATGCCCCACCAGCCGTTTGGCCTCCCTCCCAGAAACCCTCGCCAGATCCGAGGTCACTCGGGTAAGGTGCCTCGGCGACATTTCTCCCGACCCTCAGAGAAAGTCGCCCTGCCGGGCCGGGGCTTGAGTCTTCACTGCTAGGTGGACCAAGAGAACTGGTTTCCTTCCAGCCTTCCCTCCACCTCCCCACGCCCACAATGGTAGCCTTGCTTCTCTACGGAAATGGAAGTTTGGATCAGAAAGTTTCCTCGGAAGAGTTTCCAAGGGAATTCAGCGTGGCACTTGGTCTGTGCAGACCACCCCAGAGCCACCAGGCGCAGAGATCGGTTTAATCACAGCCACCGCGGGAAGCCCGGGGGTGGGAGAGGGTGCCTGATGCTGGCAAGACATTCATAAATCTGGCAGGAGAATATAATGTGAAAATGTGCTCACGTAAGCCACGGACTAGGTATGATCAAATGACAAACAGTCGGGAGCAGTGACTAGGTTTTCCAGATAATCTGCGTTGGGAAGGAGCTCGGGGATCAGCCCGATATCCTCTACCATGGGAAATATCCCGGCAAGGCGCTGTCACCACAACGGCTTACTTGGGTCCTAAAACTTGGAAAGAATCCTGACATCTGTCAGGCTACTGGACGCCAGGCCGCGCGTCGGTTGGGTAGTTTCCTAAAACGCTCTTCACTTAGCAACAGCCCCGGGGGCCCAGAAAAGCAGAGAGAGGGCTTGTGGGGAAGACAGAGGGAGGGCAGGGGCCACTGCACATTGGCTTCTTTAGGGAACGGTGGGTTTGCCTAAGAAAATTTGACTTTGTAAGCCAGAATGCCAAAAAAACAGGTGCAGGTAGGGATTGCCGAATCATGCTGTCTTTTTTTTTTTTTTTTTTTTTTAGATATGCCTTACAGACCCTGTTAGCTGGGTTGTGCACAACCGTGCGCGTGCGCGCACGCACACACACACACACACACACACACATTCATACATATATCCACACACAGAACCTTTCCGGACAGTTTACTTTAAAATCCTAAATCCGTACAGTCGTCCAATAGATTGTAACCCTTGGCCGCGGACGACTCAGACCAGGTGGAATACAAACTTTAGGGGCGGGATTCAGGACCCCAAACTTCCGGAGGGTGATGCCGGCTGGGAGCCCGGATTCTGATGTCAGCAGACGGTCTGGCCAAGTGGGGGCTGGCCTGCTCTGCGCCACACAAGCCACAGTGGCTTCCTTTTTAAGTAGTGCAGGAGAGAAAGGGGGTAAGAGTCCGGAGTGCAGGCGTCCTGGGATCGTCTGCTTTTGCATTAATGCTAAAAAAACTAGAAGCCTGGGATTTTTCCTTCCACGCTTAGGATTTATGTTTTCCTTTTGGTTTCCCACCTTTCCATGGGGCTAAGGGGAGAAGCGAGATCCCACACTGCGCGTACACCTTATTTCGGTTTCTGCCACATCTGCCCAGATGGCTTCTCATTCCCACTTGCCGCCTCGGGCGGCTCGGGGAGTTTCAAACGCTGTGCCACTCGCTTGAGCTGGCAGCGGCGAATGTCGAATTCCCTCTCTCGGTAGACGGGGTTCCAGTGCCGCCGCAAGTCTTTGGCAGACAACCCGACAAGCGACTGAATGTCCCGCTCTGAGTCTCCAGGCTTCTCCAGTCAGGAAGGCTGTAAAACAAGGAAGGAGAAGCACGGAATCCGTTAGCAGAGCCTGCTCTGGGGGAAGGCGGCGCGGCTGCGCGCGGAGAGCGGCTCTCAGCAGTCCCGGCAGGTGCGCGGACAGCGGAGGGGGCCCGGCGGTCCACCCGGAGGACGGCCTCGGCTCCGCTCGGGCCACCGTCCCCCTCTCCAAGAAACTTTTCTTTCACTCAGAGAGGCTCCGTGTTGCCATGAAAACGGATTTTCCAAGGGGCCCGACCCTCCCCCTCAGGGGCATCGGACTGGAAAAACCGAAATGGCCAGAGAGCAGAGACAAAAAGGGGCCGCTAAGCGGGGGCCGGGAGCGAGAGAGCGGAGACCGGTTCACCCCCTGCGTCCCACACATACTACCGCTCCACCGCTTGCAAGAGCCTCCGCTAGGCTCAGGCGGCGGGAGGCTGACCGCTCGCCCTCCCGCCAACCCCGGGAGAGCCTCACTGCCCGGTGTACTCGGCAGTACTGAAGCCTGTCTCCCATGCCCTAGCCCCTGATCCCCGCTCCGTCCTGGACGCACTGGCTCTCTCAGCAGAGGGTCTGGGAAACCAGTGGCCAATTCCAGGGAGGGCTTCTTGGAGGCGCACCCCAGGACACCTCTGTTGCGCCTTGAGTCCCCCAAGCCCGCCTGGGTAACTGGCGGTGCCTAGTATCCCTAGCGCTGGCAGCAGAAGTGGTTGGAGGTCCTCTGTGCAGACAGCGGGAAGCTTTGCAAGCTGGTCCCGGAATGGGGCGCTGGTCCGCCCTGACAGGGTTGCAAAGTTGTTTTCGGAACCCCGCCGGCGCCCCTCTGCCCCCCCCCCCAATCCTGCTCGCGCTCCCCATTCCCCCCCTCCATCACCTCCTCGGGTTTCGTTCTTTCAAACTTTTTGAGACCCTAATTGGTGGTCTCTGAGCGGGTCTCCGGGACTCCCGCCTCCTGAATAACTTTCGTCACGTTATTCGGCCCAAAAGGGGCGTGAGGGGTGAACCAAAGGGCTCCCCCAACTTTTTTTTCCCAGCTGGGCCAAACGGGGGCTCGCTGATGATTGGCCAGAGCTCATCACAGTGAGCCTGTCAATCACGGGGCCTACGGGTGGAGAGGGGCGGACCAAACCCCAACCCCCGGGGAATCCGAGCAGGTATATAAAGGGGCCCGGCGAACACCCGACCAGGCTGCGAATACTACCAGCTCAAGACAACGCATCAGGTGCGTGTAGCCTGCGGGTTCCCGCTGACTTGGCGCGGAACGCTTAGGCAAGCCTGTCCTTCCCGCTGGCCCTCCGGCCCCCAGTCATCCCTCCGACGGAGTCCCCAGGCCTTTTCACCGTGGCCGCTCCAGCCCCTGGAGCGCCTTCTCCTCCCGCCACGCTGGCGCACCTTCTTCCCGCCCCAGCAATGTACAGCCTGCTGGAGACTGAGCTCAAGAACCCGGTGGGGCCACCCACCCCAGCAGCAGGCACTGGCGGCCCTGCAGCCTCCGGCGGCGCAGGCAAGAATAGCGCGAACGCAGGCGGCGGCGCGAACGCAGGCGGCGGCAGCAGCAGTGGCGCAAGCGGCGGTGGCGGGGGCAGCGACCAGGACCGCGTGAAGCGGCCCATGAACGCCTTCATGGTATGGTCCCGCGGGCAGCGGCGCAAGATGGCCCTGGAGAACCCCAAGATGCACAACTCTGAGATCAGCAAACGCTTGGGCGCCGACTGGAAACTGCTGACCGACGCCGAGAAGCGACCGTTCATCGACGAGGCCAAGCGACTGCGCGCGGTGCACATGAAGGAGTACCCGGACTACAAGTACCGGCCACGCCGCAAGACCAAGACGCTGCTCAAGAAGGACAAGTACTCCCTGCCCAGCGGCCTGCTGCCCCCCGGCGCCGCCGCCGCCGCCGCAGCTGCCGCCGCCGCCGCCGCCGCCAGCAGTCCTGTGGGCGTGGGCCAGCGCCTGGACACGTACACACACGTGAACGGCTGGGCCAACGGCGCGTACTCGCTAGTGCAGGAGCAGCTGGGCTACGCGCAGCCCCCGAGTATGAGCAGCCCGCCGCCGCCGCCAGCGCTGCCGCAGATGCACCGCTACGACATGGCCGGCCTGCAGTACAGTCCCATGATGCCACCCACCGCCCAGAGCTACATGAACGCCGCGGCCGCTGCCGCCGCCGCCTCGGGCTACGGGGGCATGGCGCCCTCGGCCGCCGCCGCTGCCGCCGCCGCCTACGGGCAGCAGCCCGCCACCGCCGCCGCCGCTGCCGCCGCAGCGGCCGCCATGAGCCTGGGCCCCATGGGCTCGGTGGTGAAGTCGGAGCCCAGCTCGCCTCCGCCCGCCATCGCGTCGCACTCGCAGCGTGCGTGCCTCGGAGACCTGCGCGACATGATCAGCATGTACCTGCCACCCGGCGGGGACGCGGCCGACGCCGCTTCTCCACTGCCCGGCGGTCGCCTGCACGGCGTACACCAGCATTACCAGGGCGCCGGGACTGCGGTCAACGGAACGGTGCCGCTGACCCACATCTGAGCTCGGGTCGGCGCTCGTCGCCCTTCGCCCCCACCCCGCCCCGCACCCCCAAGTTGGGACGCCTTGTTGTTTAGCTTTGCTTGCCTGGGACTGTTGCCTTGTACCGAAGATGGGGAGGACTTAAAAGTTTTGCTGTAGCTGTCGGGTTTTGTACAAAAGCAAAAAGTCAGGAGCAGCGGAAATGGGACTTTCTAGAGCTGCCTGCCCCTCGCCGCTGCCCCTCCCTCCCCCTTTGTAGGCTGGGAATCGCTGTAATGTTTGCAAAGAAAAAGCAGCCCCCTCCTCCCCGGGTTCTTCTGTTGCATTTGAAAATGTTGTCTCCTTAGTTTGCTATTAATCGAGAAATGAGTGAATGGGAGAAACGCTCTCGGGTGAGGCTGGCCTGAGAAATGCAACGCCTCCGCCCCCAGTCGCGTTGCATCTGTTTTCCTCGTGGGTTTTTTTGGGGGGCTGACCGCGCCGAGGGGCGCGGCAGCTAAAGCCAATGTTAATTTATAGCCAGGTGTGCGTGTGTCTCCCGCCTCGCTGCCCCTGGCCGCGGGACAGCTTCGTCCAGCCCGCATTTAGGCTGTTGAGTTGGTGATTTCTGCCGTGAACTGTTTGCTATTTCGTCACGCTAATGTGTTCGGATTTCGTTTGGGCGGTGGGGAAGGGGCTATTTTGTTTTCAGGTTTTTCAAGATTTTACTTTTAATTCCTAAATGAGAGTACAATAAATTTTATAACCAAGATGATGAGTCCTGATAATTTTGCGGGCCCGAAACTTTAGGTGCGGGTTGGGGAGGGGACTCAAGCTCGGTTTTATAACTGAGGTTCCACCCTGGGGACTGAGTGAGGCTTGGGGAGGCGACTGTGATCTGAAATGTTTTGTTTTTGTTTAAACTAGTCGTGATCCAAAAATACACCAGCTCCCAATACTCTTGACTGAGAAATATTCTCAACCGGAGAAAGCGGTTTGGCTTCTGGGAGCGTCTCCTGGGAGCCGACACCACACTGGCCGAGGCGCACACCCCCCTCGCGGCCGCGCACTTGTTGATTGCGGTGAGCGTCCGCGGAAGCAGTGCCTGCTTCTGCAGCCACCACGGGCGGGAACGCGACACTGGCGGCCGCGAAAACCGACCGACCAAAAAGGGCACTTTTACCTTTGTGCACTGGGATGGGAAGACACTTGAGCCGAGCTGAAATATTTACAAAACCAAAACCCTTCGGAAATCGCAGTGATCCTATTAAAAATAAGTGGTTACAGGCATCCCCAGCAGGAAATAGATACATTTTCAGCGAGGTAGCAGAAGCGGTGGAGTGAGCATTCAACACTGGAAGCTTTGGTTTTAAAAAGTACATTTAGATTTGAAAAAAAATTGAAAACTCCGCCCATGGGTTGTTTTTAACTTGTCAACGCAGTGCACCTGTTTTCTTGAGGAGGCTCCCTCTCACTCCGAGCCTCCTAGAGCTGCTTTTGGCTCCCACCCCCTCACTTTCCCCCAGTCCCTGACCCTTGGCCATTTCTGTGTGTCCCCCGAAGGGTCCTTCGTTTCGCACCCGACCACACGGCCCCAGCGTATCTGTTTGGGGCCTAGGAAGAAAACAAATAGAACCAGTGTTTTTTTACCCCCTCCTCAGCTGTTTGAGGTGATTTCCTTAATCCCTTTAATCCTGTTACCTCGCTATCCCAGAATAACTAAACTCGGCCTTTCCAATAAGCTTGGCCTGGTGCACTGTTTTTATCCTCATCCACTCCTGACCACAGGTTTCTTTGCTTGAGGTCTGTTGGGACCCTAGGCGACAGAGTCTCCCGTAAATTGGTCCGAATTCCACATTTCCAGCCGGCTTCCTTTGTGCGGACCAGCCATTCACCTGCGGGCCTGGGCGGGCCTGGGGGGGAGGGGCGGGGGCTTTCTGAGGCTTCGGGGGGTCGTGCCCGCTTTTTACACATCACTGCGGATCCTGGAGACTAAACCCACCCCGCCTCTCCAAGAAAGGTCGGGTCTCCCTGGGAAGGCAGTGTTACCCCTCCCCCGAAGACGCACTGCCATCCCTATCCTGCACCCCATCCCCCACTGTCCAGCCAGGGGTGGGAGGCGGCGGCTGTGGCTCTTCCTCCAGTGCTCTTCTATGGCCTGCTGCGTCCTTGCTGGGCCTCTAACCATTCCCTCCACTCCCCATTGCAGGGCCACAGACCTCCAACCCCTACTGGCTGGCCGTAGAGGCTTCAACCCTTGGAACTGTGGTTGGAGAAAAGCCCCAGGCTGCCGGGTGGGTGAACCTACATTTCTGCCTCCCAGCACTCGTGCTCCAAAGTCCCAGCGGTCGTAGGAAACTCTTGTCATAGTCACCTCCCTATTCATATCGTTCACAGTGTTTGAATTCACTAAAATACCTGTTCATAGGTCACTCTGGGTCTCCAATTGCTAGCAACTGTGGACTCCAGTTTGGTCTGAAAGGACTCCAGGAAAGGGAGGGTAAAACAAGCAATTCTCCCCACTGAGCGGGGCGGTGCCAACGGGGGAATAAACTCTGACACTGCTTCTTTCGAAGAGCCCATTGTGCTGCTGCCTTCTTAGAAGTGCCAGGGTCACCCTTTCAGCGTGTCTCACATACTGCTCACTCCCTCTCTAAACATCCATGGCTTTGTGCTCCACTTTGTCTGATTTCCAAATTGCCTTTAAGAAGAGAAAAGATTTCATCAATCAGCACATTTGGAGGATTTAAATACAGATGAAAGATAATTTTTTTTTTTTAAACTTCAGCAATAGGGAAGAGGGCTGAACTGAACTGGAACAAACTTCCATCCTCTAAGCCAGAGTTTTCAAACTGGAGTCCCCTTTCTTCCCTCCACAGGTCTACAGGGCAAGTGCACCTTAATCTGTTCCATAGATTTGTGGTTCTGGCTAGGTTTAATTTGAAATAAGAGTTCTGTTGCTCAAACAGCAACAATAACAGAACTCCAATTCCTCCTGCTTCCCCTTGCTTGTTTTATATATGAGGAAACCGCCCTGGAAAGGAGAAATAAATGACTGTGGCTCAAAAGTGCTTAGGTGGTTCTGCAGCCCATTCCAGCTAGACTCCCAGGCCTGGAAGGATTCTCTCTGCTCCTCAGGACACAAAAGGTAAAGAGAAACCAATGAAATCACAGCCCCAGCTGCCTCACAAGCCCATAATCCAAGGAGGTCTCTAGAGAAAAGAGGTAATTCTTGACACAGAGATACCTAGTAGTCACGGTTTGACCACCAGGTCCCTACACAGGGAGAAAGGCTAGCTCATCTTTTAGCTTGGGGACAGGAGCAGAGCTACTTTTAGGAGGAATTATCCTTCAGGGAGATTTACTTTCTTGTCTTCTGACTACACAACTTCTCTGTTTAGTTCCTCCCTTCTAGAAATTTGTGGAGGTGTCGAGTGTCTAAACTACAGGCAAGATGTACAAACAACAATGTTCCTCACTGTCCTTCCTTATAATACTTAAAAGTTACAACCAACCCAAATGTCCAATAAACGAGGAAAGGTTAAGTAAATTTTTTTTTCCAAAGTCTACTTTGCAGATATTAAAATTGTTTATGGAAGGATTTTAATACCAGAGGAAAAGCTTAATGCAAAGCAAAAGAGCCAAAGATGCACAGAACCGTATTCAGTGTGTATGACCTTAAGCATTTATACAAGTACATATGACTGGAAAAACATGCAAAAAATGCAGGGCAGTATTATGAATCCTGGCAAATCTTCCTGGTCATACTTTCCAATTTTCTCTAGTAGATTGTATTCCTGTTTATCACTGGAAAAGGCAAGTTTAAGATATGTTCTGTTTCTATCATGAATACAGAAATGTGTGTACTTGTGGAAGAGGAGAGTTCAAGCCTTTCCTTTGGCTGTTTTGGGGCGAGGAAGGGGGCAGGGAGCCCCAGGAGCAGTAATCCCCTAGCTTTTCTCGGGTTTGGGGCCTGTAGTTAACACAAGCAGGAGGAGCACACCAGAGCAGCCCCCTGCCAAGTCCCCTCCTCAGTCAGCAGGAGCAGGAGCAGATTAGTGACCTGCTCCCTCATTCTTCAGACCCACTCACTGGAGAAAAAGACCTCCTTGGGAGCCAAGCTGAACAGCCCAGGGCCACTGAGGAACCCCAAGGTACAAAAACTCAGGGGCCTGAGCAGCCCTCACTGTCTTCCTGGGAGGGGGAAGAGAGCTATCACAGGGATAGGATTCCAGGGGAGGGAGAAGAAAGGCAAAGTGGATACCCACAAGCTGAAGAGAATACAACATGCTGTGGCCCTCCCTCCCCATCGCCACCATGTGCACCACTGCAGCCCCTTGTTTGGCTACTGCCATGGCCTCCTATCTCTTCTCCATGTTTCCAGTCTGCCCTCCCACTAGAGTGAATCCCTAGAGTATTTACTCTATTTTCCAAACATAACTCCTATCACTTTTACTTCCCTTCATTAGTAACTTTTCTGGTGGCCTCCTGTTGCATGCTCTTAGAAAAAATATCCTATGTCCTCCAAAACTTTGCCTAATCTAGTTCCTGTCCACTTCTCTGGGCTCAACTTCTTGGATCTCTCGCTTCCCTTTCTTATCCTGGCCATCATGCCTTTGAGAAATGTTTGTTGAATAAATAAATCATGGTTTGTAGTAGTTTTATATCTAAACAAATGTTCAAGTTCAATAATTGTCTTCAAGATTATTATGTGCAGCACTTACTATGTTTTTTTATATGGACAGAATTTTCCTCCAAATCCATGTATCAAGATTTCCTAACTAGCAGGGAATGGTGGTGCATGCCTGTAATCCCAGCAGCTGGGGAAGCTGAGACCGGAGGATTTCAAGTTCAAAGCCAGCCTCAGCAATTTAGCAAGGCCCTAAGCAACATAGTGAGAACCTGTCTCAAAATTTTAAAAAGGCCTGGGGACATGGCTCTGTGGTTAAGCACCCTTGGGTTCAATTCCAGGTATAAAAATATAAAAAATAAAGATAATTTAAAATATTTCCTATTAATAAAACTTACTAGCTAAAATATGT